CAGGTCGCAAAACTCACCGGAATCACTCCCATCTGCACAGATATGTGCAAGAACAGCTGCATTGCATACACAGGTCCCTTCACCAACCTTCTTGCCTGCCCGTACCCCAAATGCAGCAAGCCTCGGTACGACTCCATCGAGTTCGAGCGCGGGCCGCACGTGCCCCGCCGCACATTCGTGACCTTCCCGCTGGGACCCCAGATCCAGGCAATGTGGTCTTCGCCCGAGAACGCGCGACTCATGCGCCATCGTGCGACCGAGATGCACTGCCTGGACGATCAGCTGAAGAGCGGCGCAAACATCGACATCCTGGGTCAACAGCACGCCACATCCCCCTGGAGTCTTTGCGAACATCGGATTTAGGAAGCCCCTCGGCTGTCTCAAGCTCTACTGTGCCTCTCGAATCGGCTAGTCAACCTGACCCTCCAGTCATCGTCTCCCTGCCCGCAGTCGCATCCTCTCTCCATGCCCGCACCTGCCCTCCCACCCTCTGTCTCCGCACCTGCACCCACGCTCACATCTTCTGTCTCCGCGCCTGCGCCTGCACTTGCATCCTTCGTCTCTGCAGCCATGGTCCTTATGCCAGCAGCCATGCCCGCGCTGGAGAATAACATGGAGCGCGCAGGCATGAGCGCACATCGTGTACGTGCATTCACACAGGGCATAGTGTTACTCTATCTGATGTGGCTCCTCGTGCATTGATGTGTTCATACAGATTCCAAATCCACTGTATGTGACATTGCCTCTTAGCTTGCGCTGACAGTGCTCACAGCTAGTGCAGAGCTGGCCTATAGCGCACTCGGGAGCCCGAACGACTGGACACCACACTGCCGTCCCCATCCGACACTGCCAAAGCAAAGCGCGTGGCCAAGAAGCCCTGCAAGAAGGTCGCTGCCATCTGGCCCCCCCTGCCGATCCCTGGAGAGAAGGAGAAGCCGAAGTAAGTCCCGTGGCGTCTTCTTTGATGGACGATCACCTGACGATCCCGGGACAGAACCATTGCGGCAAGGCTGTGGAAAGTAGAGAAACCCGAAGGCGACAAGGAACTCTTCGACAATTGGTATCAGTGCATGAAGCCCACTGAGTGCACGGTACGTGGAGTTGTCTAGCCCGAGAGCCCTGCTCACATGATCTCAGGCATGGATCATGCGAGCGCAGCAGCAACTCACACTGGCTGCGGGAGCATCGATGGCCGCAGGCGCATCTGATGTGGGCACGCAAGGTACGTAGAATACATTGTTTGGGGTAGCTTGATTCATATGTACATGGTGTCATACAGGTACTACGATGGGATGAACAAGCAAACAAGTGGGCGAGCGGATGCACGCACGGGGAGCGGGGGGATGGACATGCAAGTGGGCGGACAGGGAGCGGGTGGACGCACGGGCAGCAGGTGGATGAGGAGCGGACGGACGCGGAGCGGGCGCGCGGATGCACACGAACAAGTGAGCGGGCAGATGGACAAGCGAGTGGCCGGATGGGCAGCAGGTGGACGGGCAGCGGGAGGGCAGGCGGACGCGTGCACCAGCACGCGGGTGGGCGGGGGAGGGAGCGGGTGTAGTCGGCTGCATGCCGGATGTATTTGGCTACGCATAATACAGCTGCCAAAGAGGCCTTCTGCCCTCATGTGCTACAATACATGAGACCATCTCGCAACTGTTCGCAGCAGATGGTGCGAGAATTATGTAATGCTGCGCGGCAAGTTATGTGCTGCGATGTGCTGAGAACGTGCCCCATCGAGGGGCGTCTGCTCAGCACATGGCAGCACAGGGGAAAACAGGCGGTTCTCACTGGGGTTCAAACGTTCATCGTCACCCATCTTAGCACTTTCGCCTCACCACTTGCCACTGACCCAGGCTGCAAACTCGCAAGTCGGTGTGCCGTTTTGCCCGTGCGGAGCACGGGTTGACGTCTAGTCTACTTTACACAAGCTTGTTATGGATGCTTCGGTTCTCCTTCAGCGCCGCGAGCTTCTCCGCGATCACCTCAAGCGGCAGCGTCTCCGTGCGCGCCTTCGTCCCGACGTCGTCGCGGTTGCGCACGTTCACAGACTTGCTGTCCAGCTCCTCCTGGCCGACAACTGGGTCCGTGCACGTGGTCAGTCAGCTCACCCGAAACAACGCAACCCATGTAAGAAATACGCACCGAGGATGAAGTTGTACTGCGCGATTTCGCCGTTGCGGATCTTCTTCGGGAGCGTGTTCTCTCCGTTGTCCACGTCGACAAAGAGCCCAAGCTTGGTGAGCTTCTCGGCGACCTCGGAGGCATACTCCCTCTGGATGCCACGTCAGCGAGGTGCATGGGTCGGACACAATTGGGGGTATGGACTCACGTAGGGAACAGCAACAGGAACAACGAGGACTTGACGCGGCGACAGCCAGAACGGCCTGCATAACTCATGTCAGCAGTAAGCGCGAAAGGAAACTGGTCTCTGCACGTACCACTTCCCGGCAAAGTGCTCGGTGATGATGGCGATGAACCGCTCTAGCGAACCCAGATGGCACGGTGGATGATGACCGGGCGCGGTGGCGGCTTGCCCGCCTCGTGGCAGCGGCCTCGTCCGCACTACGATACTTGAGGTTGAACCTTTCGGGGAGCTGGAAGTCGAGCTGGATCGTCGCGCACTGGAACGACCGGCGGAGGGCATCGCGGATCTTGATATCGATCTTGGGACCGTAGAATGCTCCGTCTCCGGGGTTGAGCTCCCACCTTCCAGGGTAGAACTTGTCGAGAGCCAGCTTCAATTGCTGAATACCATGACCGAGTCAGGATGACGGGCAAAGTGTCTGATATGCGGAAGCGAGCACTCACAGCCTCAGCCTGGTTCCAGGTTTCGATGTCGCCGAGGAAGTTGTCCGGACGCGTGGAGAGCTCGAGCTCGAACTCAAAGCCAAAGAGACCGTAGATGTGCTGCATGAAGTCAAACAGAGCAGCGATCTCATCCTCGATCTGCGAGGGCATGCAGAAGACATGAGTGTCATCCTGGACGAACCTCCGCACACGCGTCAAGCCTGTGAGCGCGCCGGAAGCCTCATTCCGGTGGAGGATACCGAACTCAGCCATGCGGATGGGGAGCTCCTTGTAGCTGCGGTCACGCGAGTCGAAGATAAGACAGTGACCCGGACAGTTCATGGGCTTCAACGCCCATTTCTCCTTCTCGACGTCGAGCGTGAACATGTCGTCCTTGTAGTTTTGCCAGTGTCCTGACGTCTCCCACAGCTTGCTGTTGTACATGTTCGGCGAGATGACTTCTTGGTAGCCACGTTTGAAGTACTCGGCCTGCGGGGGACATTCAGTGGAGAGTCATCATGCAGGTCACGGCGGAAACCTACCCGCATGAGCTCGACAAGGGAATTGTAGATGCGGGTGCCATGAGGAAGGAAGAAACAGCTTCCCGGACTGAGATCGTTGAAGAAGAACAATTCTTGCTCCTGTTTCCAAAGCGCATTAAGACAACGACTATCCTTACGACGAGGAGACACATACCTTGCCGATCTTCCGGTGGTCACGCTTAGCAGCCTCCGCCAAAAACGCCTTGTACTCCGTAAGCTGCTTCTTGTCGGGGAAGGAGATACCGTACACGCGCTGCAAGGAGTCATTGTTGGAGTCGCCGAGGAAGTACGACGCAGAGTTCTAGATTTGCGCGGATTAGCAAATAATACCGGCATGTACGTGAGAATGACATGCCTTCGTGACCATGAACGCCTTGATTCTGCCAGTGTGCGGGATATGGGGACCCACGCAGAGGTCCACCATAGGTCCGCAACGGTAGACAGTTGTGGAGGTACCGTCGGGAATCTTGGTCTCAATGATGTACTTCTTGTACTTGTTGTACTGTGCATGCTATAAGCGTCATTTCTAAGACAGTAGGTGAGACGAACACACCCCGAACATCTCCAGCAATGTCTCTTTTGGCACCACAAGGCGCTCGAACTTCTGCTTCTCTTTAATGGCACCATCGGCGAGCTTTTCGAGCATAGGGTAGTCGGTGTTCACGACCGGTCTATGAAAATCAGTGAGTCAAATGAAGGTCTGAGGACAATGTTCGGAGTGGACCAGATGGAGTACGCACCTATCAGGAATGGCCATTTCGTAGAAGAATCCATCGTCCGTCGGGGGACCAATGCAGAGATGGCAACCATACAGACACTCGGCGGCCTCGCCGAGAACATGGGCGGAAGAGTGCCAGAAGACGCGCTTGCCTAGCAAGCCAGTTCTGAGATATACGCCAGCGCCAGATGAGACGGAACGTACCTTCTGGATGCTCGAAATCGAGGAGCTCAAGCGAGCACGAACCCTCGAGCGGGCGCTCTAAGTCCCACAGATTGCCATCGACCTGGGAAGCCGTACGTTCAGACACGAAGCAGACGGTGCTGAGCGAAAATGTAGATCCGGTATGGTAACGTACTTTGGCAATGACGACGCGGTCTGCGAGACCCTTGGATATCTCCTTTGCAATATCCATAGGACTAGTCTCCCAGCTCGTTCCCTTGCGCTGAGAGCCATCGGGCAGGGTGACGGTGATCTCCTGACGCGGCTGATCTGTGGCCGATGTGAGATGGAAGGAGGTACACGTCGCTCTGCACGGACGCACTTTTAAGCCATTCGTCGTGCTCTGCCTTGAGCTTCTCGAAGATTTTGATGCGGTGGTCGAAGAATTCTGGTCTGGGGACCATCTGTGTGGATGTGGACTCCTTCGGCTTTTTGTCCTTGGATTTCTTCGCCGGGGCATCGTTGTGTGGGCCCTGGAGGGCGGGGATTTGGGCAGGCTGGGACGTGGACGCGACCGGGGAGGTCATGGTGGTCGAGTAAAAGCAGGGCGGGGGAGGCAGCGCGGAGACGATATGTACAGATGGCGAGAGAGATGCTGCAGCCTGAGCCTGAGCCCGAGCATCCCAAGTTGTCGTTGCGAGTCACTTGGCCCATCGTGATCAACCCCCGATTATCCCCCTGTAACTCTTATCTTATCGAAAATAGGTGGAGGTTGCGCACGGCAAAAAGGGCCTAACGGGGAATTGAACCCCGGACCACTCGCAGTCAGGAAACACCCAAAGCGAGTATCATACTTCTAGACCATTAGGCCTTGAGGCCTGTTTCCCCGGTAGCATCCATGGACGCTGCTGCGGAGGACGCGGTCATGCGGCGGACGCGTTAACAGGGCCAACAACGCGTCTTGCTTTCTGCCGCCACGATGTCCCCCGCCGCCGCCGCCTCCGCCTCGACGCGTCCGCATGAGGAGTACCAGTACCTGAACCTCATCCGCGACGTCCTCGACCGCGGCGACCCTCGTCCCGACCGCACCGGCACCGGCACCCTCGCCATCTTCGCGCCTCCCAACCTCCGCTTCTCCCTCGCCGACTCCACGCTCCCCCTCCTCACCACCAAACGCACCTTCCTCCGCGGCATCGTCGAAGAGCTCCTCTGGTTTGTGCGCGGATGCACAGATGCCAAGCAGCTCTCCGCCAAGGGCGTCAAGATATGGGACGGGAACGGCTCCAAGGAGTTCCTCGAGAAGCGTGGGCTCGGTCATCGACGCGAAGGTGACCTCGGCCCCGTCTACGGGTTCCAGTGGCGGCACTTCGGTGCAAAATACGAGGACTGCGACGCGGACTACACGGGCAAGGGTGTCGACCAGCTCGCGGAGTGCATCGACAAGATCAAGCACAATCCCACAGATCGCCGTATCATCTTGAGTGCATGGAATCCAGCGGGTGAGTGTTGCTGTTACACTCGCCCTCGCGTTTGTTATCTGCGCCTCGACGCGCGCATCGTTTACTGCTGTGCGGTGCGCTTCGAAACGTCGTGATCTATACTGCCACCCGCATATCTCCCGCCTTCGTGAAAGAATGCTGACATTCGTGTAGCTATTCCTGAAATGGCCCTGCCCCCGTGCCACATGATGTGCCAGTTCTATGTCCAACTCCCTCCCGAGTCCGACCCCACCTCCAAACCGAAACTATCCTGTCTTATGTACCAGCGTTCCGCCGACCTTGGACTGGGCATTCCCTTCAATATCGCATCCTACGCCCTCCTCACGCACATGGTTGCGCACGTCACGGACACCGAACCGCACGAGCTCATCATCCAGCTCGGCGACGCGCACGTGTATCGCGACCATGTCGACGCGTTGCGGACGCAGCTGGAGCGCGAGCCACGTCCCTTCCCCAAGCTGAGGTGGTCGAGGAAGGTGGAGACCATTGATGATTTCGTGAGCGAGGACATCGTTGTGGAGGGATACAACCCGCACCCGACCATTGCGATGAAGATGAGCGTATGAGGCGGTTCATGTATAGTTGTAGACGACATGTCTGGGATGTATTACGTTGGTATCTGTATGTTAGCCTGTATCAATGCTGCATAGCACACGGTGTCCAGTCCAAACTGAAGGGACACAGGGACAGAGGACTCACTTCGCTTCCTGGCGCGATCACGTGGGTTGGACGCGTCTCCGGCGTCTGTCGCGGTTGATGCTCGCTGGGAGGAACTGCACGCTGTCCTCCGTACCACCACCCCACGCCCTCCCTCGCGCATCCCCTGCATCTCGACACAGAGTTTGCACGCCGACTTGCTACGATGCCTCCGTCTACTCGCACGCGTCTCCCCACCGCCACCCGCACTACGAGAACCACCTCGTCTGCCAAGTCGAGACAACCCTCCACCGATGATCTCGCAGACGCATTAGCGAGCAAGCTCACGATCTCTGACAAGAAGGGCAAGGGTAAGGCGTCCGTGACTACTCCTCAAGAGCGCAAGGCGAACGCCATGCGCGCTGTGAATGCCGCGTCCAAGTCTCTCTCCGTCCTCCTCGAGCAGCGTTCGAAGGCATCGCAAGCCAAGTCCGACCGCTCAGCCACGGAGTCGGTCACAAAGCAGGCGATATCTGCGCGGAAGGACTTGAATGTGTTGCGCGAGCTCAATCCAGGAGATGTGGACATTGAGCGTGCTGCCTCAAGCATGGTGGGGAAACTGGTCAATCTGGAGATGGTACGTCGTGACGTCCTCCTCTCGTCTACGCCGTATTCAACGTACATCAGTACTCCATTGCCTCGGGAGTGCTACAAGACATGTACGCTCCTCTCGTCTCTCTCTACCACCCGACCCATCCTCCACAAATGACCTCTCCTCTGGATTTACTCGCTCTTCCCCTCCACGACGGAACCATATCTGACCTACATCTCAACCTCCTCTCGACATATTTCTTGCACACGCTCAACGTTCTCACGCACACTACGACTGACTTGCCTGGACTGGTCACCGCACTGAACGACTCTGCCAGCCCCACAATCCTACTCTGGGCTCCTACATTCGCCAGTCTTCCAGAGAAGCAGCACGACCATCTATTCACCCAAGCGTACACAATCGTCTCTCGCACAGCTTCTACGGCCTCCCCGGCAGCAATCGCTTACTCCCTGAGGATATTCTCTCTACTCTGCCTCGCTCACACTCGACCCTCTGTGATTGCTCCGAATACCTTCTGGCAACAGGCAGTCAAGTTCACCGCCATGTTCGCTAACACAGACTCCATCTCTCCGACCGAGGGAGCTAAGCACGTCTGTGAATCATTCGCCCGCCTCCTCGCTTGCACTGAGAAGAGGTCAGACGCGGGTGAGTTCATGGCAGGGGCTGCCTTTGCACGCTTCTGCGAGTATTGGAGCAGGTTCGCGAAGCAGGTGCGTAATTTCGTAGACTCATTATGGGGGGTATGCTCATCTATACTGCCAGGCTGCTGATTTGCACGCCCTCGAGCGTATCGGCCGTCTCATGCAATCCACAAAGGAGAGCGCGCAGCCTGAAGAGGACCTCGCCGCCATCGAGGCATCGACTCTCTGTACAACGCTCGCACGCGCCCTAGCAGTCTTTGATCACTGGTCAGGTGTGTTGGCCTGCTTGTGCTCAAGGAAGCTGTGATCTAATAATACTCGATGCAGAGCACAGCAGCGACTTCGTGTCTAAGGTGCACGAAACCTCAGCCGTCATCAAGAGCTGCGCGGCCTCCCTTGCTCAAAGCGGACCAGACCACGAGCGTGTTAAGCGTGGACTGGAGCGGCTACGCCGTGCCGTAGTCAAGATTATCGAATCCGCCGATGATACGTTCCCGACAGAGGTTAAGACATGCGCGAAGGCGGTTCTGGAACAGATCGTCGACGTCCTATCCGAAGCCATTACCGAGGTGCGTTCTGTGACGGCACCCGATGACCTCCAGACTGCAGCTAAGCGATCATACAGCGCAATGCCCGGTCATCCAGCACGTTCACGCCTGCGCTTGAAGGGCTCATCACGCTTGCTCGCTCGTCCTTCCTCTTGAACAAGCCCGACACGTACACGCTCACGCACACTCACCTCTCGCGCGCCGCCTCGCTCATCAGCCCCGAACGAACGCTGACAATCTCTTCGGCCATGACTGCGAACTACACGCGCTGCGTAGCGAGCACATGCCACTACATTGCTGGACAGTTGTATCAGAGCGGCCGTTACGATCACGCCGTCCGCTTCCTCGAAGACAGCTGTCGGCTTGGCCAGCAGGCGCTCGAGTTGCACCAAATCGCGCAGAGAAACGCGGACAGCATGGAGGTGGATGGCGAGACCAAGGGCAAGGAGGAAGCTTGGGCGCAGTTGGAGGAGCAGCTATGGCGGCGCTGGGAGCTGCTGGGGGTATGCCACGCAAAGACTGGCGACCGGAAGGTGCGCCTTTGTGTCGAAGCCACTTGCGATCACTTGACACTGAATGCCGTTGCAGCTTGCATATGAGGCATTCCTGAAGAGCATCAAGGCATTCCCGTATACGCTCCATTTTGTATCCAAAGCCGCACGCACGACGCCTCCGTCTCATCTCTTCGAGGACGTCCCTGCCTTGAAGCAACTCGGCGCGCTCGTGGATCGCGTCACCTACATCGCCGCGTGCGAGCTGTTCCGGCCACCCAGCAGTGTCTCCGCACTCTCCTGGTTCCCTTCCGGCAACGGCGAGCTGGACCAAGACGGCAAGTGCGTCGTCGGCGCGTTGCTCGAGCGGCAGATCAGCAGCCTGGAAGAGAGCAAGTGGAAGCAAGGCGTGCGAGACGTCATACAAGTCCTCCTGGATGACGCACTCCTCGTGTACGACAGCGAAGAGAGGCCGTCAGGCATGCACGGGTGCTCCTGAAGAAGCTGGAGCTGGGTTACCACTCCGGCTCAGAGATTTCCGAGGAACTTGAACGTGCCGGAGAGGATGCTCAGACGTTACTTGCTCGTCACGTAAGTATCTCCTGAGTGATCCCTTCCCAACGCTGGAGCGCTGACCGTCATTGCAGGACTTTGCGCTTGACGCGTCTTTCGCTCGCTTCTGCCCGGAGTACCTTGCGTCCTTCCACCTCTGGCTCGCCGTACATGCACACCGTACGCGCGATGCTGCGCGCTCGCCCGGTGTCATCTCGCACGCGGAGGAAGCCTGCAAAGTCATTCGGTCGATGGTTCCCGTTCCTCCACCGCGACTATCTCTGGGCCGCAAGGTCGAAATAGTCCAGCCTGTCCCGGCTAAGAGGCCTACGAGGACCACGAAGGCCGCTCCGAAGGCGAAGGCTGCGACGACAAGAGCGAGAGCCCCGCCTGTTACGCCCAAGAAGCGCAGAGGTGCGTGCTTGTACAACAGGTCTTGGTAGCCAGTGCGCTGACAGGTACTGGCCGGTAGCGTTGGACCCCGTGTCACTGAACGCAGCAGTCGTCACACCTTCGAAAGCTGCTCAAGCCTCGGCAGTCACCGGCAAATTGGACTTTGACGACTTCGCGAAGTTCATCCGGCTTATCCGTACGTGCTATGCCTGTGCTCAGCGCGGGACCTGTGATCTCATGCGGACTTGCAGGCATGGTATCCCATCTCATCGGCCTCGTAGGTCATGTCCTTGTACGAGTCCAGCTCCTCAATGTCGCACGAAAATTGAGCGAGCGACACATCGGCATCGCATCAGAGGGTACGCGTTATGCTTGGACGCTCCATCCGTTTCTGATTGTGGCTCATATGCGATACATGCAGTATATGTCTCGTTAACTATCGATACCGCGCACGAGCACGTCAAGCTAGGGCGGGCTGAGAAAGCAGTCTCGATCCTG